GCGTTTTCAGAAGGCCATGGGAATGGGATGTAATCCCTCCGTATTCCAAGCAAAATATCTACGTGCAATCTACGCACGTGCCCCTGATTGCCTAAGTAGTTAATGCAGGAGAGAGCTGATCTGCATTTATTCCGACAGTCAAGACGCCATAAACTCCCGAGAATAGTAAATGATAACATTTACGCTTGTGTTGGAGTGCCTTCAAACATTAAATGGACTAGGCAAGCACACTGAGGTGCACCTTTTATGGGTCCCTGCCCATTCTGGTTTTGGTGGCGACGAAAGGGTTGACAATCTAGTTTGCAAGGGGCCCCTAGGGGCAATATGATAGGTCTTGAAACATTCTGCGGCGTATCAAGAAACCATATTAATAGGTTAGCGTGGCAATGGGCACAGAAAAATTGGATTGCCATTGGAAGCAATGTGCAGAAAAACAGCAAGCAAAAAGATTTATAAAATCTGCTGGCATGGGACGTAAACTACTGGAACAGGAAAGACGCCAATACATTTGTTCAAAGGTCAAAATTTACAATCAGATATCACCAGAAAACATGAGTATCTCAGATACCGACTCACGCAGATTCTGCCGAGGCACGCGTAAGACATCCCATCATGTTCTATGTGAATGTGAACCCATCCAAGGACTCATTTGTTTCGCGAGCACTTTATAACGCCGGACATAATATCGAGCTATTCGAAACAATCCTAAATCAGAAAGGTTACAAGCAGCGGTGAGTACAATAGATCTTTCAGGACACGATACGGATTTCCTACATAATTGATGACAGAAGCTATAAGAGACATAAATACTTGCAGCATGAGTATTCCATTACACATTGGGCAATTTGTATGAAAAAGTTACCTAGCATGACGGGAAGCTTACAGCGAAAACGCTTCCAATGCTAGCACCTCAAAATATGTCAAAAGTATCACTACAAAAGTTGTGACATTTAAAGACGGATTTAATGGAAGAAGCAAAACAACTAACATGCCATCTCAGTTCCACAGTACAATTACACTGTGTGATGGAAAATTCTGCGCAAAAGATACGAGAATGAAACCCTATAGTGAGTGCTGCTGTTCGTAAACTATATAACCGGCCGAAATGTCCACACGTAGCACCTGCGAACAGTATCACAAACTTGGACAATTTGCGTGTATTTAAAACCCATTACTGTGTTCAAAGCAACGTCAACAGCAAAAATAATGGTCAGGGACGAATCAAGGTGATAAGGTACGGCCCAAACATTTAATTTACTCCACTCGACTTGAGGTTTTCGTACTATCTGTCATTGCATCCAAGCAACCCATTCAATTCAGGAACAAAACAGACGGGAACATCCTAGACATCATCTTCGCTGATCCATTAATCAGCAAACGTAATAATACAGATTGGCGTTGAACCATATCTGGACATAATAAAGGGTAGAAAAATGAAGTTGCACAACAAATTTTCAACAGCACAAGATACAGCAGTCATTGTCGATACAGTTTGCGGTTATATAGTTGCAAAGCGAATACCAATTAAGGCGATTTTGTTCAAAAGATCAACAAGTTAATGTACATTTCGACAACGATACCAACAAGTACTATTGCATTTGGTCTTATGTGGGCGCCAAAAACTGATGAACTGCATCAACCTTTCCAAAATTTCCCGCAGCACAAAGACTGCCGTTGTATCTGACGTTGACAAACTCTTTATTGTTTGTTGTATGCAGCAGTTGTCCCCGCTCAACGGACGAAAATTCTAATTCAGCAATTACGGATTTCTAGCATGCCTTGGAACCACGAACTACCATAATCAATGGCCAACCGTTCGACTTATCTCAGAACTAATCTCAGCGATTTGAACGATTTTCAAACCATCTTGTAACTGCAGACACATCTGACAAATTACGGAGGTGCAATTTATTTAAGATCGTCCATTATGAAAGAACATCATACGATTCCTATATGCTAAAACACGAACATACTATAAACCTTGCTGTGTCATTACTACTGTCTATCATATTATGCAATATAATTGGAACACAAAATTTCACTCCAAAGGATGGTATTTACTTTCATTAAGTGGGATCACTTCACTTCGTGGAAAATGAGCGGAATTTATTCCTATGTTACGGCATTAAACCACTACAAGCTCATATTAGGACACTGAACATTGGAAATAGGCCCAAGAATTCCACACCCTCACAACTTCTCGACCCACCATGTCAAGCGCGTGTTACGCAGGTGTTAAATATATGAAACCTGAACTTCAAGTAGACAACGTTTTTTTGATGCAATATCGGGCAAATTTGAGTGGAAATATTGAAAACTCATTTGGCCAATTAACGTCAATTATCATGGTATGATAATATATTCCAAGCCATCTTAACATGTCAGATAATTCAAGCCCGCCACCTTGAGATGTGATAAGTTTAATGTAGCAGACGGAGCTAGAAGCTAGGACGTCTATACAGCTACTCAAGCTGCGATTTCAATAATGTGCATCTCATGGAATTCTCTATGCTTTTTCAGCTGCGCTATGTAAAGCAGTCGTTGTCGAAATAACCGAAAACTCTCCCAGACGAAGAAAAGCACCGAACAAGAAAAAGCCTGGTAACTTTAGTTGACGCTAACTGACACAAGCCAAGTGATTGTCAGAAAAGCGTAAGTTACTGTAAGACTCATTTTTTTTCATAGTATATAATGCTATATCACTTGGAATTTGGATTGGTCAAAGGTTATGAAACTAAAGGAGAAGCGTTTGTAGCATGCGAAGGATATTTAAGATGAGTGAACCAATCCTTGCAGTTGCATACACAAAGTATACACATAGATAAGCAACTTGAAAATGTACTTAATCAACCCCATGCAATCAACGTCAAACGCCTTTTCGCCTAGTACAGTTATTCACTCGTTTCGATAATAATATACCAAAAAAACCGCATTATATTCATGCGAAGACATACTTTTCACGAAAACCCGCATATTGAAGGATGCATAACACATCACACGGCGTTATACAAATTTACTTCCTAAAAGTTCCCTTACTTTTCAGGTTCCGTCATAAAGAACTATAAATTAGACTTTTTCTCCATATAAGGCAAAATTTGACCTATATGATCAAAATTCACTATCGTTTTTGCTACTATTGACCAATTTCCTTCACGATATATTAAAAATTACAACTTTTTCTGGAAGACTTACTATTTATGATATATCTTATATGAAGTGGCGCCCAAGAAATAAAATCAAAATATCTCAAAAACTGGGACCTGCAGCTAGAATATAAAAACACATGGAGAGTTATTAGATGGACGGATGGACAGGCAAGTTTCGACACAGAAAGCGACTTTGAATCGATCGGTATATTAAAATTCAAATTTAAAAATATGCCATTTAAAAAAAACCCATGAATGATGGTAGATTCTGAGCAGGTGAAAGAGTTGTCTGCCTTCACAGCTCTGGCAAGGAATATATCAAATAATTACTCGTAGTGTTCAAGCACAAATAACTGGTAATACTCATGTCTAAATCTCTTACTGGGAACTCTGCAAATGGAAGGACATTCACATTAAATATGTAAATCAATGAAATTTATCTTTTGTATGTGCATTAACAGGTGTTGCGGCAAGATTAGTAAACATCACAATATTACATAGTATATTTATATTGCCATTACAAGGAGAAGAAGGGAACCAGACGTTTGCGAATGTTAGCATGTAATTTCCTTACAACCACGTGTTTGCCATGCAAAGAAATCCCATTCCAATTTCTTGCTCACTAGTGAAATATCCGCGGCTCCCTATGGAATTCTACGCACGATCGCCTGACGACTCAAAGAATTTGAATTTGGCATTTGGTCGCATAGGCGGCGCGTTAATTGGCAACTTGGTGTAATTGCTGCTAGTAGGAGCAAATAAACGATGGGACTTTTAGAAAATAGATAATTCGAATTATACATTTGGAATGGCAGCCGCTACAAAGAACGGAACGTCTTTTTCTTAGCAATATCCTCAATCTGGATATAAAATAAGTAATTTTTTACTTTTTTTTGTCATAGTAACATAATCGAAGTAGATATTAAATAAAATGATATTAAGAGTAGAATGGGACTTTTAAAATTTATGAACTATAAAAGCAATCCAATCGATATGGGCATTAAATATTGCCGACGTCACGATGTGGTAGAACAATTTTTTCTTAGCAATGCGGCCGATGCGAGTGTTAAGCGAAGTTGACTGGAAGTCAGAAAGCGAATTGCGATACGCCATATAAAATAGATTTTTTAAATAAACTTTTAGTTCATTAACTAAAATATGGAAAATAAATTTTATTTCAGCCACTCTTATGTGACTATACATAAATGCCTGGGACGCTAAATTAAAAAACAGGTTTCATTCACATTTCAATTTAAGAAAAACAATTTCTTTCACACTAAAGCTTTTAACGCCGCTAGCTTTTATGTATAATCACGTAAGAGCGGGCGGAATAAATTTTATTTGCCATCTTTTAGTTCCCTTAAAAAAAAGGTTACTTAAAAAACATATTTTGTATAACTTATTTTGTTTTACATTTATTTAATAAAATCAGAGAATGTCTGTTATCCGTGAAAAATGGTGACTGTGTGAGGATATAAGTGATGAGAGAGAAAGGGATAGAAAGATGCTGCATACTAGGGGGTGTACGCTGAATCAGTAACTTTGCCTGCTGAATGGAAGCCAACCAGCTCCATTAATTGTAAACTTGCTAAAAAAACGCTTAAATGTCCCCACCTAGTCTCACAAAAATGAGTGTTGGACTAACCTGACTTTAAATTTTCGCTTGAATCGGTCCATCGCGGAAAATTAAAGAAAATCTTAACTTCAAAGCAAGGTAGTACTGATTAAAACGATAGCAACCATTGAGGAAATATTGCATTTAGTTAAACTTGAAAAGTGCCCGATTGATGCTCATTGAAACCCATAATATAAAAATATTTCAAATATTTACATAATCAATATTAATCAACGTACAATTATTGTAAGGTGGCTGCAGTTTATTGCTGTACTGTAAGTTGTAACTGTCATTCTGACGAGCCACCAAACTCATTACCGCAGATTCTTTCACACCATAATGGGCTAGAGTATTTAAGCGCCTCCAACCATTTGTTGTCTTTGTTGTCAAGTCTTCATCTTGCAAAATTAAATGACCTCCGCGCCCATGGCGCCATTCTAGATCCACCTCATGTATTGTAGGCCTCATTGAAAAGGGTGTATTTTTAAACAAAGCATCTAGAATCTTAGACTTCACTTGAGAAATCGTATCCCAATCTAGAACTTTGCACTGAACTTTCTCGTCTAAATCATCTTGAACAATATGCAACATTACGACCGAATGCGAGATTTGTTCATGAAGCAGACGTTCTTCTGATATCGAATATCTAGCATCATGTGTAATGGCATCTACCAATCCTTTTTCAATTTGATGTTTTATTGCTTTAAACAATAAAAATAAGCTTGATCCAGCATATTCTTTCAAGTAATCGTACATGCATATTGCCATATAATTTGTAAGCATTTTTTCAACAACGCTTTCAGTACGGCGCAACATAAGTTGAGGGTGTTTACTTATTACAGATTTATCCACCAAACGTAATAGCAAGCATTTTAAAATGTCGGTGGCATATTCCATCTTGTTCATTAATACGATCATTAACAAAGATGCCACATTTACCCTATGGAACATTATAGTTAAATTAACAAATTAAAATTGTTTATATTATAAGAAAGAGAGAGGTTTTTTTCCGACTATATATTCCTTCAACAATTAATGAACTATTCGGCTGTTATCCTATGATCATTAGAAACAATTGTGAAATCTTAATTTGTTTCGTAACTATATTTAAGAGCAAAAATTGAATTCTATAAATTGTTGGGAGCTTTACCAACCAAACAGAGAGAATGCATATTGGGGGTTTCAAACCATAGACATAGATCGTCGACATTGCAACAGGAATCTCCCATCCATGTACTTTTTCATTTGTATCAAACCTAAGTTAATTGTTTTAAAGTTATGTTTCGTATGATAGCATGCACCCTAAGATATGCTAGGTTCAACTTAAATTACACCTATATTGCAGTAGTTAGTAGTAGAGGACAACAGACGGACGCCAATGCAAACAAAGACGGTGTTCTAACTTCTGATAAGGGGAAAAAAGTGCCGTAACACCAGACATTCAAAACAAATGACTTTATGCACAGATGTTTTTTCTTTCCCTGCCGATAACGGATACGCACGAACATGTTTTAGTTTTCAGTTCTTCCCATTAATTGCGAAAATCGAAATAAATATCCAGCCTAGTCTATGCGCATGTCGGGAAAGTTTAATAATAAAATAAATGCGTGCTGGCTACAATCTCCTCCTATACCTCTAAATTTATAACTTAAATGTTAGAAAAAGCATACTAAGACGTGTGCGTCGAAATAAACGCATGAGATGAAGTAGTGAAACCAAATCTAGAGTAGAATGATGAAAGTTTATTATAACAGTATATATAATATATAAAACACAATAACAGTATTGAATTACGGAGAAAAAAATATAACACTGGAGTTGATAATGTATGAATAATACGACGATAACTTGTAAACTTGTAAGATCTTTCATTTGATCTGATAATCCGCGAGTGAACCCATAAGAAGTTTTGTTCCTTGCTAACTACGATAATAATAGATAAACATCGAGCACAGAAAAAACCAATTATATATGGTTCATATTGTCATATTTACCTCGAAATACATTTAACACCGCTTCTAAAATCAATTCGATACCTTACAGGACCAACTTCACTTCTAACAAATAGATCTGTAATTCTAGAAGTTGACACATATATGTCACCATTTTTCCAAGCGCCAAAAGGACGCTTTTGAAAAATTTATGCTTGCTAACGAGTTGCTGAGGTTTTAGTGGCGCTACTTTTGGTTTTGCGCTACGCTTGGTTTTTTTAAAACCAAGGTTATGATTTTGCTGCGTTGATTAAACGTTGCATTGGTGTTATGGCAGTTCTTCTCTGTCAGAAACGTTTATCAGCAATTTGATTTCAAACGACGTCTTTCTGGCGATGTTGCAGACGACTAAAAGCGATTGTTACACCAGAAATATACGAAAAATGTTGGAAAAAAATTACGCTCGATAATCGAAAAGTGATTACAAGAGATAGAAGGTGCTTGAAAACATCCTTTCAAGAAGTATTACAAGTGTTTCCCAAATGAATACCACGCTTACTCAGAATGGAATATCATTGTCATAAGTCGGTGGACACAACGACAAAATTGCCTTTCGAAGTTCTGTGCCTCTCCAAACATTCTAAAAGTCTGGTCTACATCACTAAATGCTATCGTCTTGCAAATGTCAAAGGAATATTCCAGGAAGAAAAATCTTGGCCAGATTATGATATAATATGTATAATATTATCTACAGTGAAAAGGAATGAAAAAGAATGAAATGTTATAATGAACTATTAATCTTGTCGAAACGTCAGTAAGTCAACGAAAGATTTGCGTTAACATTTAAACGTAAATATAAATACTCATTGTAAGTAACCACGATGGGTAAAAAATTCCGTGAGAAGTAGAAAATGTACAAAATTCTAAATCAAAATACAAAAAACGTCACGACAAATAATAACCAAAATTACCGAAATAGCAGCACTGTTACAACCGTGATTTACCAGACCACAGAAAAAAATGAAATGCGAGTTTGATCCCAGTTGTTTTCAAGGTAACACTTATGAACAAGAACATTACAATCGGGACTATTAGATACCCTACATCACTTCGCTTTAAATAGTTATTCACAGCAAAGCATGAATGGCTCACTTGCAAGGCAGTCTACACACACACGACATTAGCTTCTTTTGCGAGTATACGCGAGTCATCATATTAATTAATCCTGATCGTTCGCTGTACAGCATTCTAGCTTATAGAAGAATACCAATAAATCTATCTAAGGGAACTAAACCAACAGCAAAATAGATTAAGTGAGCAACTGACACAGATCCCTTTCAAAATTTAAAGAAAGATATCACAACTTTGTGTGTAATATGTGGCATTAATTTGGTTTTCATTGCTATAGTTATCCTTTCGGCGCATAGACTTCACAAAAAGAGATGAGTCGGGGTACTCGTACCACCAATACGAGTTGTAAACCAAGTGCAGAATTCGACTGACGATTTTGTAACTACTTGTTGATTTATTATCAAAGCAGAGAGGACCCAACGGAAATCAGAAGTTCGTAACAACGACTTCCAGGCGACTGTGAAGACACCGATGAAATTGCGACTAAAGAAGACATAAGGGATCGTTTAGAAAGTTAGTGTGAAGTGAAGTGGACATGTGGCGTACGGTGAAACGAAGACAGCAATAATCAACCCACAGCAAGGGGATGTAGAGGAACTCCCGACCAGCGGGAAACTAACGGTAGGTTGGGTGATCTTTAGGGTAAAGGTTCACGGAATAGTGGTGGAACGTTGCAAACACTTGGAATTGAAGCACATAACGACACATTGTAAAAGCGAGCACAGTAAATCGAAGACTTGCTGAAAACGTACGTAAAAGACGTATCGTAAAGACTTTTACCAAAGCCCCTTCCTGCATGTTCTGCAAGAAATTGCAATACGAAATATATAGCAAGAAGTGGTAGATAACCACTGTGCAAGCCCATTAAGTATTACAATCCCTAAATGAGAATAATGCAAATATAATTTAGTCACAGCGAGGCCGCGCAAGCCAAACACACATAGAGGAAAATGGACCTGGTGCTAGTATGCAAATCATATAGAAATCTGGCTTGCGTGTATTCAAAAGTCAAAAATACAAACTTTGAGAAGACATCTTTAATATAATAAACTCGAAAGAAATCACAGAAGGATTCTGCACGCCCGGAACGACTGAGGCATGTGGCATGCGTTTCTTCGTTCTCAAGCCGTTGTATACTCGACCACACAGCCACACACGTATGAATCCTAGTTTCTAAAAGAATAATTTTCAATTCAAGCAGCAATTTTTTTTTATATAAAGCGGATGCAAATTTTAAATCAAAGAAATTACGTCTTCCTGGTTATAGTAGCGGTATTTTGGCTTAAGAGCCTAAACATTGTATCTTAGTAATAAACATTCGCAATAGTTCACACAAGCCGTCGCAAACACAACCCATACAACCCCTTTCGAATAGAACAATCTGGACAGTACAAAGCCTCATGCTTTTCGAAGAAGTAGGCAGTACGGTACTCCTCTACCTGCTTGGTGATGACAAAAAGCGCTCCCTAAACCAGTTTACGAAAGACACCATTGAAAGGATAAATGTGATTTATGAGCTACCACATCGAATACGACCAGCCAACTAACAGAGATCAAAGTTGATAACTTGTACCATTATCGCTCCACTCTAATACTCTCTCGCATTGTTTTTTGTTTTATTGTAACACTAGCATAAACAGTCTTTATTTCACTAGGATAAGCATTTTTATAATAATTTGACTAGCATACGCATTTAATCTCATTTAAGGTTTTTTTATTTTTGTCAACATAAGCATTTGTAAATTTATTGTACTATATAAGAACCAGGCAAATAAAGAAAACACATTTTGATTCATTCATTCATTCAACAATGAAGACAATTTTAATCTTGTGGCTGATCCTTAAAATACAACCAGATACTTCACGAAACTAAATTTACGCTTTGCACGATTGGGTAAGTTTTAAAGATAAACAACAAAAATTATAATTATGCATTTTCTTTTACATTCTTGAACACTACAAACTAGCGTCTATTAAAAGAAGCCAAACGAGTGAAGGCAGTGCTAAGATAAAAAAAAAGCCGAAGTCAGCTCTTAAAACAAAGTCAGGCGCTATTGTGATAACTACTGAAGGAGAGCTCTTCTCTGCGGATACGGAAAACTGAGCAAAGAGAGATGCTTCTGATATCTGGAATTCAAACATATTGCAAAGCAATGTAGAGGGTTATGTGAGCCATTAACGGCTAACCGAACAAGTGGCGATATTTGCAAAAAAAATTCTTCTTGTAGATTTGGTAGAGATGTATCCTATGTAAATGCAAAACATGTAAGGCGAAGCGACAAGGAACTTTGATTAAAAGGGGACGCAAATGGGAATAATGCGGATGAATCTCAACTGCGGGCAAGCAGCACATGACATGCTTCTGCACACGATGATCGGGAATATGAACCTGATACTACTGGACATATACCAATATGGGACGGAGCTCATGGGCAAGTGATGCGTCGAAGAAACAGCAAATTTGGCATTTACAGCATAGTGGCTTTGTAAAGTCGAGAATGAAAGAATATGCTCTACTGCGCTCCCCCAAAATGCACGTGAGACGAACTCTAGCGCATGGCAGAAAAACTTCTGAGATCATAATTACATTTACATTGACTACATTTAATGAATACAAAGTGCCTAGAGGAACGCTTAGGGACATTAAAGTTTATCTCACCAAGCAATATGGGCGAATCGACGGTAACATTCATTAACTTAGAGACGCAACAGCAAGAATTGCTTTTGAACGAATTCAATTGAATCCACATAACACCTCTAAGAAGGGGACTACACAAAAAAGCCATAGTCAAGAATTTGTCTAACTACGCACATGTATAGTCTTTTTGTACTGTACGGATCCTTAACCACTTCGGACCGCCTCTTGATAAAATCCAAA